TTTGGCTGTAATTAAGAAATTCGAAATTCCAGTATAAAGCAAAGTAGGCTATAGGCAAACTAATATATATATATATTTTTGTAATAAATCATAAATTAATTTATACATTCATTCATGTTTACTAAATACAAAAGAGCATTAAATAATTTTCAATTCCAAGCAAGTTCAACCAATTAAATGTATTTAATTCAAAGGCAGAATTGTGTCGGCAGCCCTGTCTTTAAACAGCGGTATTCACTCTTCACAAAGTTCTGGGTCTATAGGACAAACATGTTTAATTGGATTAGCAGAGATGATGTCATAAACTACAATTAAGAGCTTGACTGTGCAAACACAGGCACGCGCTGAACGTGTTAAGAGCACAAGCATTATGAAAATTACTGTAAATCATTTTTTATAACTATACGAACAAGGTTTATAAACTTTTTATTTATTTTTAAAAAGTCCTAGCATGTACAAAATAACAGATCAGTGCCAAGTATTCAAACATAGATAATTATAACATTTAACAGATTCATTCAAATTAATTTTGGAGAGAGTAATTCAGTCTGCAAATCATAGAGACACTAAACACAGATAATGTTTATATATCCCATAGGACCAATTGTCCTCCCTATAGTGTCTACAGTCTTTCTAATATAGCCTAATCCATAATTGACGTTGTTAATGTTCTGATATGGGATCAAACTTAGATCAACAATTTCTTTATAATTTTTAATAACACTTTTCAACAAAACATGATGAAACAAGTGATTTTTTTCGGTAGCATATCACATGTAGCCTAATGTTTGTTAATGTTATGTTTAAAGTTCCCCGCCTTGTATAAAACAAGAAACTATTTAAGGGAGAGAATGTAAAGATTTAGGTGTTTCAAATGGCTTGTTTAAGAATGTAGACACGGAAAGATCACTGTGACAAGGGAAGGTGATAAACCAGCGGCTCGTGCTCCCATGACTCAATACCTGACAATTAAGTGAACTGGAAAAGATGTGAGCCTGTGTAGGTGGTTATAGGGTCACTCCAAGATACCCAACGCGTAGAAACCTCTTTAAATTAAATAATAGGGCTTCACGGGCCTCCCGGGAGTTTTTTTAAAAAAAATGAGATATTGAAGACAATGGTGGCCTTATGGACACCTTAAAATAAGCCCCTTTATTACATGACTTATTTTATCAATCGGCCTATTCTTCTCTGCCAACCTTCGCATTTCAGTTATGTCTAAATGTGCATCGAGTTTAATTCACAGTGCACCTGTTACTCATTATAACTTCTTGCGAGTAGATATGAGTGGACAACAAACTAGATCATCTATTCCTCTCGACGGCTCATTCTGGATGCATCTGCACCGTTCTAGGGGGCTTCAACTGCAAAAGTCCTAACAGCCAAGAAGCAATAAATGTCGCCTTTATGAACAGCCATTCTCTTCCTGCCCCCAATTTTGACAGCATCCGGCGGCACACTTCTTAAAGTTCTGTTCTTCTTTCATCAGAAAGCCAGTGGGTGAGATGGTACAAGCTGCGCCAAGCAGTCAAGTCACACAGCAAGCTCACCAGCACTCAAAAGCGTTTTATCGCATCCATGAAAGATATAGCAGAATTGTTTTAATTTCTCTCTAATTCACGAGCGGTTGTGTGATAATGAGCCAGCCGCCATAATATACATAAAACCATGATACTCTGATTATCCTGGAGGCTACGCGACAATTGCACCATTTTGTCACAACAGAAGGAAAAGTCAATTTGAAGGGGGGCTGCGATGGGCTTGTAATTGGGGAATCCACCCATGGGCTGGTCCTACTGCTAACAGTGAGGTGGAAATTACATCTGCTCATATTCTCTGTACAGGCCTGGCGATGAAGATGTTATTAAAGTAGGCTATAAAATATTATTCCGTTAAAAATAGTAATCCTCTTGCAGGAAAACCCTTTTAAATAGTCTTTTTTAAAATGAAGTCACGCATTTCTATTCAAAACGAGTAGCTGTACTTCACCAAAAATAACGTGAACAATATTGTGCATTAAAAGTAGGCCTATAACAGACAGACACAATGCACAAATCAACACTTTTTGACATTGTATTTCTTTAAACTCGCTTGAATAAAGATACATGGGGTCAAGTCAGCTAAAAACAAAAAAAGTTTTAGAGACTTTTTGTCGCACTGTAACGAGTCTGATTTACGTGGCCCCTCGACTTGAAGCCATAGCAACCGCAGACAAAGACCGGAGGAGGTTTACTGGGGTTTGTCCTTTGATCTGTCTCCATTTCAAATAAAGAGTCAGCTCAAAGTCTGCGCTTATTCAGAGAGAACTATCCTTCACTCAAGCACACATTCAGTAGGCTACTCTGGCAAAACGTTAAGCTTATAATACCACATGTGAATTAAAGCTTTTTATACATAGGAAAAAGGACCATAATTAAATATGCATAAAAAATATGGAGCATTAGGAAATATGCAACATTACTGAAAATTACCCTTTCTTTCAAAAGCGTTTATATTACAATAAACTCACGCTGGATTTGTATGACATCAGTGTGTGCGCTAGGGATAAAACAAGAGTTCTTTTAATTTTTAATATGTTGCATTGCACCTAAAATAAAGAATAACAAATAAAAAATCAGAGAGTTGAGGGTCTCGAATCATTCGTACTGACCAAAGAATAAAATAAAGTTCGCACAGACATTTGAAACGTTTAAAAAAAACAACACTGTTTTAAATGTATAAAATGAAGAACAGAGGAAAAACACAATAAAAAGGTCAGCGTCTGTGTAACATCCTCATTCACGCACATTATTAGCCTATTATAATCATCACTAAGGTAATAAAGCGGAGTATTCAGTAAGTTAATACCCCCAAATACAATAATTTGTTGTGTTAATAATTTCTATTAGCTAAAGGCGTAAATTATTGAATGTTTCTCAAATGTCACCAAAAGCTATAGGCATTAATGTCGCATCTGCACCTATTTGCCACAGTGGTATGGCCTATATTTGAAGTTATTCTCTGGCAATGTTATCAAGCAAATTCAAAAGTCACATTAACCTACGTGCAAAAAAACGCCAGACATTTTACAACATTACTAGAGTTCAATTTCACTCATTATACCCCCACTGCCAATAAATTCAATTTCATTTCAATTACACATTATTTCCAAAATTGTTCCTGCTTTGCTCTTGTTGTAAACGATTCGTTTTATTGCAGGGGAATTATCTTTGTTGAAATGAGTTTGTCATATATTGTCTAGTAAAAGAATTAAGTCATTATTGGGAGATCCCTTGGCGAGAAATTAGGCGAGCAAAATCCTCCCTGCCACACGGGTCCCATTGAGATTAATGAAAAATATGTAAAACGTTTCCTTTTAATTTTCCTCTGAAAGCACTTTGCATACATGCGTTTTCTCTGCTGGGTTGATATCAGATAATTTATGAGAGCAATCTCAGCACATAACCATCAGGACTGTGTTTCAAGCCTAATTGAGTGCTGTCAAGATTAGGTAAGGTCCTATTCGTGTTAATTGTATTGTACTCTCTTTGGGAATACTAGTAAATGTATTTAAATAATTCCGCATTGTGAGCTGAAAAGATTATGTCAACTTACAGGCATAATAGAAATGTCATGAAAAATGACAAAGAAGTAGGAGGAAGTAGTATTTCGCAGAACTATGAGTCCGCAAATCCTTTAAACCCTGAATCATTGTCTACACAGAGCAGTTCCAAGCTAATTAATAAAATAAATGGTGCCTTTAGTGCACTGATCAGAGGATTAATTCTACTGCTAAATGTAATTTCACTTTATAATAAATATCACATACTTCTATTACAAACATAAAAATCAATAAAGGCACAAAAACCCATAAGGTAGGGGTCAGCCAAAAAAAAAAAAAAAAAGCTAGTTTCAAATTAATGTCATATCAATCAACAGCCATATTTCACACTTATTTTCAAGAGGCTTAAGTTTCAGAGGTCATCATAGGAGTTCTTGTGTTTTGGCTGGCTGGTGTTAAAGGGATGGTTCACACAAAGATTTTAATTCTGTCATTTACTCACCCTCCAAACCTGTATAGATTTATTTCTTCAGCAAAACAATATTTCAAAAAATGTTTAAAAGTAAATGTGGTCTAAAAACATTTCATTGTATGGACAGCAAAGACATTTTTCAAAATTTGATGAAAGGATATATATTTTGGGTGTACTATACCTTAATGCTAATATCAATATTAAATCACATCTAACATTAAACTAACAAGTTTGTAAATAAATAAATAAATATATTAGTGCTGTCAAATCACATCTAACATAAAAGTTTGTAAATATATAATATTTATTATATATATATTTACAATCTTATGTTAGATGCGATTAATCACGATTAATCAATTTGACAGCATATATATATTGTAAAATTTTATAATTTAGACAATTAAACGCAGGACGGCTCTAGATGAATCTCATCGCATTGGCCTACCAATCCTACGGTCTCAGGATCTGATTGAGAGTCTTCAGACATGCTTAAAGAGCGCTTAGAGCGAAAGGGCTTGTCTGACATGAGTCCAAAAAGACAATTCCAAAGAAAATGAAAAATAAATGAGTGCAAAAGGCAGAGAGCATGGAGGGGTGGGGGGCGTGGAGAGGTGTGGGACGGGTGCCAGGCCGTCAGCTTATTGTCGAGCCCTTTGGGCCACTCACAGCAGCGGCTTCCATATTTTTGTTTGTGTCCCCAGGCTGGCACGGATCTCAGGCCGAGTCGCTTGGTACAGACACTATTGATCACACCATATTCAGTTGTGCTTTATGCAGAGGCCTTTATTACCATAGTGACCAACTGAACCATCAACCATTCCCCCCACCCCCATCCCCATCCCCATCCCCATCCCAGACAAATCTGCCCTAGACATTTCTGCCAAATATCTCATCAGCTCGTGGGAGACCAGCAGGAAGGAGCGGGAACATAGCGTACTGTAGGATGTATTCACGACAAACACGACATAAACAATAACAACGCCCTCAAGGGTGGAAAGGATGGTCATTCATTGGGAATGACATCCTAAAGTTTTATTTCAAAAGAGGCGTTCTTGTCAAAGTGAGTGTGAGGAACACTGGTGAAACAGACAACGGCGGCACATCGTGGCCATGTTCATGGTGACTCCGAAGCTGGATGGAGAGATGGGAACCACTGACCGGTTAACACATCCATAGAAAACCGCTGATATTTACATAGATTGATTCCTTGCGGAGCTCTTTGTGTACGTGTTTGCTAGCGAGCGAGCGTGTGGCACGCTGCGTAGAGCTTACGCCAGGCTGCAGACACATTCAAGCCTTGTCTTGAAGAACAAAATGACTTGCTGAGTCCCCCTGAAACAAAGGCCTACAATTTAGAGCGGGCTCATTCTCTCGATGTTGGTTTTAGTAAATTCATGGCGGCTTCTTGGCAAATAGCGCTTTGATGTTCCGGGGCCTGGAGGAGCCTTCAGGCTGAATGGAAGCTCAATGGCAGGGCAGCTCTGTTTGTTTGCCCTTTCGCAGGGCACGCACAACCTTTACCACGGTCAATCGTCTACCCTGACAAGAGACGTGCAAGGGGCGAACATGATACACACAAACGCAAAATAATGCATAAAATGGTCATGCACCAGGAATTGCAGAAGACAAAATAATCAATCAATTACTAATTAAGCATCACATAGCACATCATCTCTGTTACTGGTTAAACAATGCACAGATCATTTTAGCTGTTGACGTGAAGTGCGCGGCACCGCCAGCATGGTGCAGAGTTTGATGTCTGAGGAACCCAGATTTGGCTCATTTTCCCTGAACAGTTGAAGCCATTGTGACAATGTTCTGAGCCTGCTTCAGAGATGGCATGTCAATCATACTGCCATGAAAGGTGAAAGCCCCCTGAGGAGAGGAGAACAGAACACTGGTTGAATAAAAATAAAGGTAGATATTGTCTTGAAGAACATATCCTACTACACAGCTTTAATGCAATGCATATACAACACAACAAAGAAGGATAGGATGGTTAGAGAGTATATATATACATTTCAAAGGAAGGATTTTTTTTAAATGCTTGTGTTAATGGTGTTTATTGCAGCGATGTTAGCTTCCAAGCCAGTGTTTCATTCAAGATGGTTGGGAATTTAAAAGTACTAAAAATACTAAGAAGCATTAGAATGAAAATGGAGATATTCTTGACAGCTGCAGGAATTAGAGCTGGAAGTCTTTTATTTGCATGCCAGATACTCCTGTTCACTCCACCACTGGACTGAGAAGGATATTTCAATCAGTCTACTCGTTCACAACCTCTTAAGAAGAAAGAGTTTCAGTAATTACATGACATATGCATCCAAAGAAACTAAATCTGCAGTTAAGCTGCATCCTAAATGTAATGTTATGCTGATAGAGTCTAAAAATGATTTGTTGAGAGGCAGTAAAACCTCAGGTGGGGATTTTGCAAACATTTTCTGTAACAAATCTGCAAGGAGATTGAAGAGGGCACAGACAAAAAAATACAGGAAAACACAAAATAAATCGAGCAACTGTGTCCCGGAATCTCAGTTTGTGAGCAAAGAGCCGAACGGGGAGAGTGCTGCTGATGCACCCCCAGGCCATCCTTAGCGTAAGAATTACTGGCAGATTGTACATTACTAGCACATCTCAGACACGCGCAGCCCTACCGAGCAGAAAACGCAGGACTCAATGATGCACTAAATTAGGAACTATAATATTCAACACCTCATTTGATTTTCTCAGACAAAAGCTACAATGCTGTATGCACCATGGAGGATATCTTGATGCTATATCAGGCTGGAAAATAATACAGATCTCTGTGTGGAAACTCCAGGACTAGTAAATGTGCACCTTTCCCAAATTCTGATGCTCCTCGAATGCAGCGATCAGCTCCGTGGCCCACTTGATTCTCTCTGGACTGGGGGCAAATTCCTCTTGAACGGCCTTGATCTGGTTGGGGTGAATCACTTGTTTTCCTACCAAGTGAAAAAAAAAAAAAAGTCACTAACAACATAAACAGTAAATAAATATTCCAAAGAGAATAACATATTTAATGTCTCAAAATGAATGAATGAATGAATGATTAAATAAATAAATTGAAATCATCCTGAACATTCATACTTCAGTAACATTTATAATAAAATTGATAATATAAAAAAAAAATCTTATTTCTTTAACCACCTATCGTAATGTACATACAAATTCATTCCACAACCAAAAGTGTCCAATAATAAGAGTGAGTAGTATTTGCCTATAGATGTCAGCCCACATGTAGAATAAATATTCATTTATTTAGGTCTAAAACTTTTTATTTGTATTTTTAGTACACCATTAGCAGTGCAGCCCACTCACATACAACACTACAGGAAGTAGTACTATTCTGTAAAAATAGAAGGAAAAAAAACATCATCTAGGATTATTTCTCCACATTTAAAGGGCTTTGGCTCAGTAGAAGCAAAGGCATTGGTGGGCATTTTCTCCTCCTTTCTCCAGTACAGCTCCCTGACCAAGAATGAATTTAAGGGACACAGCAGGGAGAGAGGATGCTATGAATTATGGGTGTCATCCCGATTTTCGCCTTGTGCCCCGCTGAACTCTGAAACTTTACTGCACGCTTAGTTACACTTCAATCTGAGGCAGCCTCTGAGAGACTTCACTTGCTGTTTTTGTTACAGGCCTGTGTGAGAGCCACACACACGTAGTGTCACCTCAACACACTTCATGCATACACACTATACACATAGATGTCAAGGACAGCAGCATCAGCTACGTGTGTTAATGATCCAACGCTGGGGTGAAAAATTGGAGGCGACTACAACAGATGACCATGAAATGACCCATAATGTCCATGCACTTACTGAATCTACCTCTAAAAACACAAGCTTTGTGAGCATCTGATCAATTGAAATGATTTCTTTCTTTTTGATTTTAAAATTAAATTTCTTCTTTTTTTAAATTTCCATAATCTATCTATCAATCAATTAATTAATCAATCATTTATTTCTAGAGCATGTTTAAAACATTTAAAAAACGTTAATATACATAAATACCAACAAGCCAAAATAAGTAATATAAGCAAAATAAGTAATAATATTATAATCTGTCGTTTATTTCTATTGAATAATTTTATTAATAATAATATTGATATTAATAAATATAATAATGGGTTTTAGAAAGACCTATGTAAATAAAAAATAACAACGACAACAATAATATAATAATAACCAATAATGTTATTAGTATTATTAATTTTTATCTTTGTAAACCCAAGGTTGCTTCATTGGCAATTTGGGTACCATTTTCAAATATACATTTCCTTTTCCACCCTACTTTGCTGCATCGGCTAAGAAGCTAAAACGGATTACGGTCATGGAGGCTGAAACCTTATTCTCAAAAATAACATCTGTCCAGTGCTGCACCATAATAATCAGGGACGTTTTCCCAGATCAAAACTCTAGGTGATGAGACTTCATTTAAAAAAAATAACTCTTAGCTCGTCTCTTAAAAACAAATACAGAAAGGTATCTAGCTGACAGCCGTAGAATTTAATACATGAGAAAACCATTAGCTCCATCTTTGGGTCTTTCCCCAGTTAACCCATCTGAAACAGCTTCTGCCATGTGTTATCTATTGAGATCCCACATAATTTAGCACACAATATTACATATTGCAGCATTATGTCAGTCATATGTTAACACGGTCTTGCAACAGCACAGGTGTTACTTTCTGCATCTTTTACACATTGCCGAAGCCAAATACTGCAAGGTACGACAATCTGATGATGCAGCTGAGAGTGAACGAGGCGTCAGGTTAACCAATGACAGCTAAGCATGCGCTTTAATGTAAATAAACCAAACCAGCTTGGTGACTGTGTTTTTCTATTTGAGCCAACAGTGCTGCAGAAGGAAGAATCACCAGTGTGTGTGTGTGTGTGTGTGTGTACTGTCCCTCTGCTGCTCTGGAGGAGACGGCCTGTTGGATCAACACCCTAAAGCTGAGGCTCAAGGTCCATGTTTGTGACGCCCATCCCAGAAAAGACTGGCAGGGGGTCGTTCCCTCACATCAACAAAATATGCCCCTTCCCCAGACTGCCACCTGTTCAGGAGCTGTCTGTTCTGAGCCAGCTAGTGACAGAGTGAGCAAGGGGGGCGTGGTGAGCCCTTACGCCGCGCCGCTATTGGCCGGCTGCAGTGCATCATTAATGTTCCCCAATGCCATTTGGCCAATCACAGGGTGCCATCTGTTTTGAGTATGTCTGGTTGGCTCACTACCATTTAGCAGAGTACCACTGTTAGATGATTCTCAAAATCTCACTTAGAAGGACAGAATTTATGAAAAAGGCAGAAAAACAACAACCGAAAAGGATAAACGTGAATAAAAAAAAAGGAGGAAAATCTTATTTTGAATGATCTTAAATAATACATAACCTTTTTATATTGTTTCATTTTAGGAGACAAGCAACAAAATTCTTATTCATTATACAGCACCATATATGTGTAGCTATGACTCAAAAATCCTTTTAAAGACATAAGGGCCAAGTCAATTCACAGGTGGGGAGTTCAGGGAAATAATGTTTAGACAATATGTGTGAAGTAATACATCCAAGAGGAGAGGATAAAATTTATGTTAAGACTCATCTTAATTTGTAACTTTTTGGCCTTTCTGTTTTGTACCAGATTTAACTGCTTGTCTGTTGCTAAAGATGTGATCATTGTAGTATTTAGCCCAATTATTATTTTCAAAGGAATACATTTACTTAAGAACAAATATATTGGAAAAAGTGTTTCTCATGGTAGATAAAATGTCCAATTAGTTATTTAAAAATATTTTAGATAAGTCTGCCAATTTATTTCTAACACCACATTGAAGGACATTTTCTGATTCTAATTTTAAAACGTTAAAATCAGAAACACAAAGGTACAATTTCCTGATTTAAAATAAATAACTAAAGCACATAAAAAAAAAAAAAAAAAAAAAAAAGTTATTTCAACTAACCATTTTATTAATAAAAACTATTCTGAGACCCCAATTATTGTATTTGCATTAAATATTATCGAAATAGATTTGCTCATGCAAGTTTAATACAAAATAAGAAGAAAAATATTGGCTAAACTACATTTATCTGCATGCAATCTTAATTGCCTACGGATAAAAACACACTCACTGACACACACTTCACACTGAGGGTGTAAACTGTAAACAGTGTTTCTGTAGGCCTCCTCACACAGGGACCTCAGACTAGCAGTGGCAAACAGAACGGCGGTGAGCTGAGCGCATGCTACACGAGGAGCCGTTCCAATTCAGACTCGCGCAAGAGGCAGAAGAGAGTCATCAAACCCGACCCCACCTGCCTAATTACAGGCTGCTGAACAGAGCGCCCGGCTGATGGGCTGCAACATGGCATGATCAACCCGCAGGCTGGCTGCTGGGGAAATACAAACAACCAACCTCGCAGTGGCACCCTGATGGACATCCTGGGACACCACAAACCGTAAAACAATGATACAAAAGTAAATAATTCAGTTGCCTCACATGAATATTTGCATTTTTTAATTGTTGTATGGTAACCAGTTTCTGCCAAAATACAAAAATTACTCAAGTAAAAAAATTGGTAATTTACTGCACTGTAGTATCCATTACAATCATCAAGAAAAAATGTCAGAAAGATTCTGAAAGTCTTTTGCATAGGCTGAAGGCAATCCAATATTAATTAATTATTATTTTACAGTAGTAATAATATTATGGTATTTTTGGAGAGACTATGGTTATCATGGTAATGTTTTATAATGGTTGTAAATGCTCTTCAATGAATTGATGAATTCTCCTAAAATATTTTCATTAAATATTATAATATTCTATTAGATATTCCATTAAATAATAAAAGCTTTTTTTCCCCCTGAGTTGAATGATAATAAAAACAGTGGCTTAAATTAAATTCAGTGTTAGATGGAATTATTGATGAATTTTGATGTTTTCAAAAAATTGCATGAAGAAAAACAAGACAGGAGAAAAGTGAATGTTGTTTAGCAGAGGAGTGCGGTGTTCTGGAGGAATGGCAGTGCTAGTGTATACAGAGATGTGCATGGAGAACAGTGTGTATTCTGCAAACAGCAATTACATATTCATTAGCGGAGGCTCAGAGGAGGGCTGTGTCTGGCCTCCCGTGGCCAGTTACCCGCTCACCAGGACTCCACGCACACACACTTGCCTGGCTACAAACCCACACATCGCTAAACTGTGAACATACGTCGGTCTCCCACAAACACACTCGCAAATAACAGATACACATTCACACAGACAAAAAAAATAACATGCACGCATGCGCACACTGACAAACACATGCCAGTAACTTTCTTTTTAAAATTTCATGTACCGTATGTAGGATATTAAATGCTTGGGTAGTAAATAAAATCACCAATGCAATATGGGCAACATTAAAATTATAAAACAGATGCCACAAAGTGTTGCAGATTTCAAATATAACAACCAGCACTAATGTCAGCACATCAAATATAAGATGTAGAGGAACTCAAAGGTGTAGGAAGAGAAATACAACAAAATACACAAAACAACCCACTAATCTCCAGAGGATAAAATATAAAATTTATGAAATGTAATTAATATTTTCATTAAGGAATTTTGCAAGTTAAATACAAGTTGCGCTCTATTCATCGCATCCTTTAAGACCTGGATATTATGATGTCAATCACTTCAGCCAATCACTGGTTCTCTTACTTGTTTTGCTCATGCAACAGAAATGTTTACCAAGTTCTGCCAGTATATTCTCTATATGCTGTTATGCATATGTTAGAGCATGAATTTTCATTGAGATCCTAAATCATTTGAGAACCAAGACCCACTTAAAGGAGGACCAGGCAAAAATGCAATACAGTAAGTGAACAGAAAAGAAAAATGATGCTGTCAGCGTACCAGTGAAGCCCATGAGTGCGCCCTCTCTGGCCTGCTGCCTCAGTCCTTCCACATCCTGGTAGTCGATGTAAACAAGGTCGATCGCCTGGAGACCGAACGCTTTGGTGGTGACCACCACTTTCTGCCGAGCGTACAGGAGTTCTTTAGCGTCTTTAGTGCGTGTGGCTCCTAGATCAAAAACATGATTTTTAAAAATCAAGCATCATATAACAAATATGTGCAGTTTGAAGGGGTATTAATGACATATCATACAATTGCATCGTTTACATTAACTTATCATTATTTTTGGTGCTGTCACAAAACAAACCAAAAAAATAACAGAAAGTGGAAAAATGGTTTATTAAAGAGAGATAAAAAGATAGCAAACCTATGCTGGCACAAAAGTCATCTGACCCAAAGACAACTCCGTCATGATGAAGACCTGCCTTTGGCCCAAGATCTCGAAGTGCTTCACACACTGCCTTCAAGAAAAAGAGAAAATAAAGAGCTGTGCAAACGTGTGTGTGTGTGTATGTGTACTTTGGCACTCAATCAAATCACAGAGTCGAACGACTCTAATTTTCCACCAATACTCCCTTTATCGCTGTCCATGCCTCTGTTCTTTATATTTGTGTTTAGAAATGGAACTATATCAGATATTTAAAAAAAGAAACACACACACACACAATTAATGGCCCGTCTCTGTCCCTGTGGATGGAGGAATCTAGAAATCTGTGAAGACCATCCAAGGCTGCAACTAACCCCAGAACCAGGACTAGTGAGAGACCGTCTGGAATGTGATATGACCGTGTCAGGCGCGGAGCAGATGGAATTTCTTGAATGCTTTTGTTGGGTTCCAAATTAATTTCACTTCTTGCTGTGACTCTGCAATATTTCCCTGTCTTGGCTCTGGGATTCTGTCTAGCCAGCACAACAGAGGGTTTGGGGGAGGGGGGAAGTAAAATAATCAAAAGAAAAAAGGGAACTGCATATTTTATAAGCAGACAAAAAAAAAAACATGACTTCGGCCATTTTTTTCCTGATAGGGGCAATTTTAATATCTATAACTCAAAATATAAGGTGTTATTTACCTTAAAATTCAGCAGACCCAAAGCAGTTTCCACAAAGGTGACCAAGCGGATGGGTTCCTCAAGCTGTCTGCCTTTTAAGTACCGCTGAAACCTGTCAACAAACTGAAACAAACACACAGTCAAAAACAGTTTAAACAGAAGACATTGTTTAAAAGCCTAATTAAATTGAAAAACTTCTGACTCAGGGTTTTGGAGAAAGAAGAAGAATAAAGAGATATGGCTTGACAAGATTCACACAGTCTTTGGACAACTCCCGTTTCACAGGGGCCCTCGAGATATACTACAGGTTCCTGTCTGAATTTACAAAGAAAGGATCGCTGAATATGAAAAGGGAAGGGATGAGATTTGAGCTGTCTGGGAGTGCATTTCATTTCAGTTTTATGCAGAGCCTCGGCTTCCCCCGGCGGACAGACTCGTGAGACTTGCGATGTGTGATACGACACTTCTCCGCGCTATTCATTTTCCCGCTAATATTTGAGCTTACCTAAGAAGGTTTTAAAATGAAGTTTGGTGCTTTGAAGACCAAAGCATTCCGATTTTTTCCAACAGACCAGTTCACAGCTAGCCGTGGACTGCCAGTGGGGTTGCCCAAATTCCAAAATCTATCATCTGGAAACACACAAAAGCTCCCTCTGTCAGATATTTTCTTTTAAAGCCTGTACAAAAATAAAAGGAGGGGGAGGGGAAGGGAAGGGAAGGGAAGAGAAAAAAAAAAAGAAAAAAAAACTCAAAGCAGAAAAGTGTAATTCCCTGTCCCCCCCGTTCCGTCTCTCTTTCACACATTGGGGACAGCAGATTAAAATAACCTCAGGTACGTCAAGGCTAGTTTTCCAAATAAAGGCTAAAATATCCCACACACACTTGTTTTATTAGCTCAAAGAATATACCTTCATTGAGGGATTTTTTTCTAATGGGGGAATTTTAATCATCTCCCCATTCAATCTCAGTAGGATAAATCATATCTGAGAGATTTGCATAAATATAAACCATCAAAGACTTTTCATCTTCAAAGGGGTTTTCAAGACCCAATAAGCTTTGTACTGTAATCATCTGAGGTCACAACCCTGCAGGAGTAATGCTGCTATGGCAACATAAAAACGCCAACGGCTTAGCATAATATTCCCCTCGAACGGAGAAAAGGGAGGGAGAGGGTAGGGCTTGTTTGGCGGCCCTTCCATTTCCTCACTGTCTCTTTTATCAGACGCCACACTGCCCTCTCCGACGGCTCCGTATTTTTGCGTAAAATTATAGCCACTTGGCAGAGAAATTAAGCATTTATAGCCCTCAATCAAACGAAAAGCTCTGTCCCGTCACGAGGCGCCATTGGGAAGTCAATGAGTGACAACAAATTACAGGTGTGCTTTTACTACACTGAAGTAATGGGAACGGTCGGCCCCTTCAATATTTACACAGTCTGGGTATTGAACCGCACTTGTGCAAGCGCTAATACCACTCTCAGGTGACAAGCTTTTCCGTTCGCTATAGGCCGCTTGTGAAAACCCACACTTCTCGACAACAAGTGCCACGGCGGCCCCATCCACCATGATCCGGATGGAAACGAGGCAGGGATTTTGGGGCGAGGGAGCCGCTAGAGCGAAAAAGGCGGCAAGTGGATAAGTTTCAATTAATTCTCTTCAAAAGAGGGCCAGATTAAATGTTTCCGGCCTGCTGAAGTGCTCATTTCACCGTGTGGTGGTGGTAGTGGTGGAGGGGGGAGAATTAGGAGCGGACGGGGAGGGACGGGACTCGAGCTGGTTCCTTTCAGGACTCAGTAGTGTGGCGGCCAAAGAATGCGCACAGCTCCGAATCTGTGGGAGAATTGTCTGTGGACAAAAGGAGGAGGGGGGGAGAGTTACGCCTGTTATAGTCCAATAAGCCTTGTCAGTCAAACAAGCACAGAGAGAGAGGATAGAAAGGGAGAGTAGAAGATTTTCACACAAAAGGAAACAAGTAAGTCCATCTTTTAGCAACAAATCAGTCTGGAGGTTCCTCTGCTCATCTACGTTAAAAAGGGGAAGAAAATAAACAACAGAGGGATTTAGGGTCGGCCGGCCGCCGGGACGAGAAGAAGAGGAGGAGGAGAGAAAGATAATCAGGCTTGTAGTGGTACGACTTTGTGATGTGTGTTGGATTAGACACTCACTGACTACTCATCAAAAGACACAAACACATACATAAGGGAAAAAGAGATATTTAATGCTAATTTAATAGCCGACGATTATTTCATTAAAAAATAAACAGTAAAAAGTACCATTATTAAGCTCCCTCTTCATTCCAGAATAAAACAAGTTACAACTTATTCAACATACTTATTCAGTATGTTGTTATTTTCTTTAACCTCACAAAAGCAACCATAGTTTCTGCAGATATTGTTACTAATGTATGCCTAAAATAAAGTAAAAAAATAAATAAAAAAAATAATAATAATAATAATAATTTAAACGTTTAAAGCAAATAGAATTACAAAAATAATCAGTTGTTGAAAATGTAAAGAAAAACGTTTGTCTGCCATTGATTGGTCAAACAGGTAGTCCTGCCCCCTAATTCATGCCATTGGTTGAATCAATGTTGCTGTGTCAGACAGCACAAACAAACAGACCAATAACAGCACAGAACCACTGTCCTTTTAAGAAAGGAATTAACCCACAAATGACTTGCATGGTCTCTGCATATTTAAACAGTTTTTTTTTTTTTGATGATAGTTTTCTCTAATACCACAAAAATAATTTGTGGCAACAAAAACTGTAGTAACTATATTTTTTTTTACAAAAACTACAGTGACCAACTGTGGTCAATTTTGGTAAGGACTCTGTACAACCAAGTATGATAATGTATCTAAACTGTTCAGATCTGTGAGACTAAAAAGGGAGAGAAAGAGAAAAGATAGAAACATCCTCTCCTTTCATGTTTGTCTCACGCCACTTTCAAAGCAGTGGGCCCATGTCAGGTCAGTGCTACATGACTTCCTCTCCGCTCACAATCTCCCATATCCTGCTGCGGCTATGAGCTCGACCGTGTGCAAAGCATGTGGAGAGCATGTTCTATCCCCCACCACATATGTGTGCACTTTTTTAATGCATTCACACACACTGTATTACTCAATGTGACATATGTGTAGGGGTTGTATTGATTTTCGAGTGGCTAAGTGGGTAGTGAATAGCAGATTCATTTTACTTTGACAAAACTCTGAAAATGGGGTTATTTTACATGTGGCTGAGAGAGGAGGATACCCGATACCAACTGTATGTAACAATGATAGTAAGATAATAATATAATTGGAATATTACCGAGTTGCAGTAAGTGTATATATATGTATATATATATAAAAAGAATCAATAATATATTAACTAATATGTATAATTTACTAATATACATTACATGCGCACGAGCACGCGCACGCACACGCACACAAGGGCTTTTCACTTAAGTTGTTGTTTATGAACTACTCTATGGGCGGCAAATATTTTTCAGCAATAGACAAAATGGCAGTGAACAAGAATGAGAGAGAGAAATATGAGCACCTGTCAGCAATTAAAAAGAAAAGAAACATAGAGCGGCCCGGGAAATATATGAGCATTAATTAAAACCACTAGTTAAAAACTTCCTGCTTCAAGCCTAAACTAACTGTGAGCAACAGACTAGGGGCCCCCTCCATCTCTCAGCCTCCCCCCCTCCCTCTCTTCATCTACCTAGTTAAGACATTGTGGCTTCTTTCAGGTCTTTTCAGTGCTCATGCAGAGTAGCTGAATACTGCAGATTTGGGCTGGGTTGGCTGGTTGGGGGAAATGAGCTGGAGGGATTTGGGGGCTGGTGTATTGGCTGTGCTGGGGGCCTCCTGGGGCCGACTACCAGAGGAAGCCCTGCTTTGATGGACGAACAAACGTCTAGAAGAATCCTCAACACCTCCTGCAACTCACACATGGAGGTGATCAGGAGGAATGAGTGTTTTGTGGCTTTTAGCTTTAAGACCTATATGCTAGTGTCACTGACTGACTGACCGGCCATCTCTATAATAATGAGATCTACGAGTGGCTAAAGTGTCCACCAGCTTTGATTTTAGAATATTTTTGCTCAACATTGCCAGCCTCATGGTAGGTTTATTGAAGAGGCCCTGTGCTTCCAGGGGAAAGAAGTATTTTGTGACATCTGTCTTGTGAAGCTAGTTTTGAAATGTCATGGCTTTCTTGAGCTGATGCCAAGATATACAGCCCCATTTCTCCCCGGGCCTGACTACAGAGATCAAGTCCTCTGTACAGCCTAATAGAAAAGATTGTTATTATTGCTTTGAAAAGCCCTGTGGTTTCTTCTTACCCTGCGAGTTCAGAGAGTGTTGTGTTCTATACAAATGATGGAAAATGCAAGAGCACATTAGAGGTATTTTTAGTTTCTCGTTTTTCACATTAAGCAGGTCATAGTCTTCAATTTGTGGGATAAAATGATCATGAATGTCACATTAACTGTAATCTAACCATAATCATATGGAAACATATGAGTCCTCAATGTACAATTCAATGTTTGCTAAATGTACTGATAAAAAATAAAATGTGGGGAAAAAACACATTTACTTTCAAAAGTTTGGGGTTCAAAAATACAGTAAAAAACAGTAACATTATGAGATATTATTACAATTTAAAATATCCGTTTTCTATTTCAATATATTTTAACATGTATTGTGTATGGCAAAGGTGAATTTTCAGCATCAGTCTTGCTCAAAAAACATTTCTTATTATTGTAGCATAATAAATGTATTTTCTGACACGTTTGATTTAATGCATCCTTGCTGCCTTGCTGAATAAAATATTTTATATATGACCCCACACTTTTGAACAGTAGTGTACAGTATACGGAAAATGTATGATTTTCAGAAAATATTGACTAAAATGTTGCTCTGTTCCTCACACAAAGCTGCCATGGTTAAGCTTGACTTCAAAAATAAGATATGGGTTGTATAGACTTCTTTTATGGTGCTTTTAAAATATTTTTTGGCCACTGCACTGTATAGTTTCCATGTATTCTTTTGTATTCCACAGAAAGCGTATAAACATTGACTGACAGAATGCTCTTTTAGGTCAACTCTTTGTTTGAAGTGCTTAAAGAGTCATGATTCACTCACCCACTGCACCTCTCCTGTGTTCTCCACCTTTGGCAGCATGAGAGCTGTGGGCAGCACGTCCGCCTGTAGAATAACCTCCATGTCGGCTTCGGCCAGGCCGCTAGACACAGAGTTCAACCGTACACACTTCTCCGTACGCCCCAGATCCAGATCAGCCAGCATCTTTGGGATGGTTTTCCGAGCTTCCTCCTGTGAAAAAAGGAAAAAGGAAATCACTTGTGCCATTGTGTCAAAAAGTGCTTACTTCACCACAGCAGATAATAGAGCATATTTCTCAATGCAGGCTGGACCACAAAATGAAAGGGTGACCCAACTATTTATGCTCAGCTGGGTCACTATTCAGTGATGTAATAAACACACAATATGACTGCAAATAAACACTGAATGGTTATGTTACGCAATTCAGACCCTATTTGACAAAGAACACAGGCTTGTGGGTATCAAACCTGCAAAAAAATGATTGAAAGTAGGTTTGGGAGGTTTTATTGTTTGCTTTTGTGCTACTGGATGACGATGATTTGTGTTTACCTGATAAACGGGAGGAAATATGTCACGTATGAAAAGCTACAAGCAATAAAAATGGCCATTGGAGCACTTTAAAAAGATAAAGATGCATCAGTTTGGACGAGCGGATGTTATGTGAATTTACAGGGAAGTGGTGGTTGGCGCCTGGGATTACGGTGCGGAAAAAGATCTAGTGAGAGGGATCAACCTCACTACAGCTGATCCACCAAAGGCCATAAAGTGAAAAGCCCTGCACACAAGTCTTCCACACAAACACCACAGACACATGACCAACGGAAGTGGAGGGAGGAAGAATCAAAGTTAAAGCCAAGTTCCAGGGCCTAACTGTGACACAGCAGCACACGCCAGGAGATTTAAACCAGATGCAGCTCAAGAGACTGAATGAAGGTGGGAGGGAAAGGTCCAAAAAGATGAAGTTTCCATTGGTCGGAAAACAGCACTCCATCCAAAGGGAAATGTGGTCTCAGTTAAACAGGAGGAGGAAACAGTAGCTCAGGAGTTGTCAGGTTAGATCAGAGGAGGGATGAGAAACGTCAAGAGAAAGAGGGGAGGGGGGTTAGCTCAGGGGTTAATTTAACTTGAATAAGAAACTCCTTAGGCTAGGTCATCCTCACACCGTCCACACAACTAGGGTCACCTCTACCCAAAAACTGTTGAACTTTAGCCTACACCTAGACCATAACGGCCCAATACATGGCATTTATATCAAGAGATAATTAATAAAATGAATTAAATGATAATACTAAATAATTAAATAAATATTAGTATAACAATTAAATAACAACAACAACAGTTATTATTATTATTTAAATAAATAATAATAAAATGAATTAATCTTACAAGGTATGTAAGTTTTTTTTAATGTTTTAGTCTAATAATCATCCAGGTGTTATGGTGTCAAAAAGCACAAAAAGAAAAATAACAAACATTTGGTTCTGCATATCAGTTACAAGACACTTAAACAAAAATAACCATTATACATATTGGTTATTAAAAAAGGGCAAAGATAATCAATCTCTAGTCTAGATCTGTAACCCCCTTTTTAGATGAGCCTGCATGACCGTAAAACTCAGCCTTTTGAACTGGTAATCACAACCGGTCTGGATTCAGACTCCCTTAAACTAGAGCTAAAATAACAACGCTGTCAACCATTTTTATTAGAAAAAATGATGTGTATACAAGCTGTGAAGTCTTCTATATGACATCTGAAGCATTGCAGATATACTAGCAAAACAGATTAAAACCAAAACACAGTCTAGACACTCGCATGTCTAAACTAACATTGTGGTCCTCAACTTACAGTTTATGTTGAGAGTTGTTAAACTGCAAAATGAACACAAAAGATTCCTCAATAGGAAGTCGTATGTACGCTTATAGCCTATAATATATTTGAAGATCACTGTGGTAATATTAGGAGGGCCGACGGATTTATGAAGCCATAACTCAGCGTCCGTAAAAATGTTCCATGGTGGATCCAGTTTGAGTCCTCCAGTATAATCCAAGACTGATCCAGTGTCTTTGACACTGCCGAACCACTGTTCTTTGTATGTCTGGTATCACATTCACTCTTGAACAAAAACATGAGGCTTTGAGTAACAAATCAACATCAAAAAGCACCTATATCAAGTCAAAAGATATGAGAGTAGCTAGAAATGGACCAATCAGACTGAAATAACCACTGAATTGTGTAATGCTATATCAAACCTTCATGCCACACGATTCTCTGCTTTTTATCACCACATTTCGCTTTGAACTGATATTCCCGACAGAAAAACATTTGAATTTCTATCAGTAGGAAGGGCTCGCTATTTCATCTCCCCTCACAGTAAATTGACAGAAAGAACATTCTCAAGAAGATCTCGGGCTCCTGAGGGGACCCAGCCATTCCGAGCCGGAATAAAAGTACTTTGAAAGCTGAAATGTTTTACATTAATGGAAGCCCGTCCAACTAGTTGCTTCAAAAGACCCTTCCCCAATCACACAGCATCCCACAGAGTGACCAGGAGAATCGCAGGTTTGAGGGATCTTTGATTCCTTCCATCAAGCCCATCATTAAAGCTCAACACAGTATCATGACAGCACGTCCACAAAACACTCAAAACAAAGGACAGACTTTAAAGTTTGTAGAGGCTGACTTCTCATTTTTTTAAAAAAAAGGCCAGATCTTTTACATTTGTAGAGAATTTGGACTCCAACTGTGAGATATGTCAAGAAATGGATCTGCGTTTGGATTATTTAGCGTCTAATCAAAGCGCAGGAAAAACGTGTGGTTTGTATGACATTTGAAATGTATAATGATTTTGTATAGATTTGCATGATTAGAAATGAGAGCAAGATATGTGAGAGGGAGGGACAAAAAGAAACTCATATTTCCATTTAATGTTTCTCACTCTATTATTTTTTCATCCCAGCTTCTTCCAACCAACCATGACACTTACGATTTCAAAAACGATGTGTAATCTAAGCAAACAATGTCTCACGGACAGTGTCTGACAGGTGACGCAACCGGGCATCTGGAGCTCTATTCCAGATGAATGACTAACAGATCCAGCATCTGATTCCGCATTTGTCCGGTTACGCATGAGAGGGAAGCCTGTCCCTCTAGGCTCGCTGCTAGATTCTCTCAGCCTCTCGAAAACCGCCACTTCTCTTCACACTGTGCGGCTGAAGAATGATCTGTTACTACTTCAGAGCACTGCTCAGGCAGCTCACATTTTACTGACTGGTTCTGCCAATCAAAACAGAGGGCTGTAATTTGATAATGAGAGAGGGACAATATGTGCACTTTTCTTTAAAACTCAGCGTTTTGTGATACGCTGGGCTGCACTGGACTCCCAGTATTAAGATGATGGAGAGGTTGCGGGACTGAAGCGTTCAGATGGGACTTTCAACATCTGCCGTTCACAGTTAACTGGAAGCTTACTGTTCATGGGCGCTATTTACTTCTGTTCTAGAAGTACTTGAAATGTCTGTCATCGTAATCTGATTTTAAGCAACACAATCTACACATTTGATAGCTGTGCCAGTGAAAACGTCAACCTAAACAAATAATGCTTAATGTGCCAACAGTGTAGCCCTGTGATGCAGGATGCATGTGAGAATTTCTTCTGCTTCTGAAGTGCTGAAGGAAAAACATCTAAGATTGTGATGAGAGTGGGAACAGAAGATATTTGAGTCTCTGGGGAAATGACAGAGCTCAGTTTTTCTCAGGGTTTTGTACTGCATCAAAGTTTTATAGGTAGCAACTCTGAGAGAATTATCTAATACTATTCAAAGACAAACAGAAAACACCATACAGAATTGCAAAGTAAAGATCTCTGTAACTTTTCAAAGCTGATAATGATTGGACTTTTTTCTAGTTGTGTTGCAATCATAAAAGTAGTCATGTAGACACTTCACACAAATATAGGGCCTGAATTGTTTAACAACAATTTGTTTTCTTTTTCATTTTCACAACCCTGTTACTAAAGTTTTGCATATAATTTAAAAATAGAATAAATGAATATACATTAAATAAACAATTAAATGTATTAAATTGATAAGATAATGACAACAATATATATATATATAAAACAATTAAATATATGTTTGACACTGTGGAACAGGGTGGAAGGTTGAGCTTGACAAAGGCAGTCAACACTACAATTGAATGTACAAAGTAAGAAATTGGAATAATTTTATTTATTTTAATTTAAAAAATGTACATTTCTTATTACAGAATAAAACTCAATTTTACCTTTTCATGGAAAATTTATAATCTGGATTTTTTTATTACACTAACCCATCTACCTGGCCATGCTCTTTATATTCCAGACACAAAGGTGTTTCTTACCCAGTTTCTTCTTGCAATGACCTGGTAGGCCGATTATTTGCTAGACACTTATAAAAGCAAAGGTCGTATTTTTAAAAAGTGGCATTACATGGAGTACCCAGGGCACATGGAGTGTTGGCAGTAACTGACTTTCAATTTTCTAGCCATTAGAGTAGTTCACACCTGCTGCCTGCCAGAGCTTTATAACCGTCACCTTTCTGTGTCAAGTGTGCCATGTAAAGCAAAGGAGAACTTAAATAATAATAATAATAATAACAACAACATGCTAGGACACAACAAATCAGAGTAATAGTCCTTCAAAGTAGAGCATAATGTGAAAGTCCAGTGAATTATGCAATGCGATTATCTTGCTAAATCATGCTTAAAAAGCTGGAACACGTTTATCAGTTGTTTAAACAATTTAGCAATGATCCAACACAAACCACGAGAGTGTGATCAAGTCTCATTTTGTCAAGAAACTAAAAATAATAATTATGATAAATAATAATAATAATAATAAATATAGCTGCAAGCAGCAATGAAAGAGCAAAGCACAAAAAAGGCACAATGAGTAATACAAGCATGGCTGGGAGTTTCAGAGCAACTGCAACAATGAGTAATTAAAGACTTTTTTAAAAGTTTGGTGTCAATATGCCAAAGTGTTGCAGAGTTACAGCCTCGGAATCAGCTTGGCATCATGCCTTTTAATAAAGTTTTGCCAGAAATAGACTGAAGATGATCTGAGCCAATTGCCGAAAATTGGACTAACGGTCTAGGAGTTTGAAAAAACAAGGCTTTCAAATGAATTTTTATAACGATTCGTTAATGCATTCATAAATAAAGCATTTTACAA